GGAGGAGGAGGAGGAAGAGGGGGAGGGGAGGAGGGGGAGGGCTAGGTGCGCTCGCGTCATATCTGACGTCCTACCCCTCCCTCCCATCCCTTACCATGGCGCTGATTTTCTCTATCCGCGGACGCGTGTCGTAGCGGACCTGTGGCTCCGCGCGCGCGTGCGTAGTGGGTGGTGGTGCGCGTGCGTGCGTGCGTGCGTGTGTGCGTGTTGTGGTGGTGTGGTGCTGGTGCTGGTGCTGGTGCTGGTGCTGGTGCTGGTGCTGGTGCTGGTGGTGGTGGTGGTGGTGGTGGTGGTGGGTGGTGGTGGTGGTGGTGGTGGTGTGTGTGTGTGTGTGTGTGCGTGTGTGCGCGTGTGCTGTGGCATGGCACGGGAAATGACGCCAGCGCTGCAGTGGGAGCACGAGTCGAAACGGGCGGAAGCGCGGAAATGAGGCCAGCGCTGCAGCGGGAGCACGATTCGGAACGAGCGGAAGCACGGAAATGAGGCCAGCGCTGCAGCGGGAGCACGATTCGGAACGAGCGGGGCCCGAAAATGAGGCCGGCGCCTCAGCGAGAGCAGCATTTTGAACAAAAATGCAGGCGAAAACCCAACTCCCGGGCGGGAATCCTGTGTGTAAAAAAGCAGGACGCGGGGGGGGGTCGGCTACTCCCAGGACGCCATCAGGGGAAGAGGGTGAGTAGTATTCATATTGAGTAATTGTGGAGGAGGAGAAGGAGGAGGATGACGAGGAGGAGGAGGAGGAGGAGATGGAGGTGATTCTCCAGTTTTTCCAGGGATGGATCCCGAGGCCCATCCAGAGGACACCCCTCACTAGGTCCGAAAACTCCCGGGGCTGCGACATTACGCGGACATTCGGTGAGGGACCCCTTGGGCCAGGAGCACCTTCAGCACCCCCCGAAGCGTGCTTTCCTTACGGGGTCGCCTTCCGAGGGGGCTGGCCCGTCCCCATCCTCCTGCTCCTCGGCGTCCTTTGCCTCCCCATCCCGCTCCCTCCCCTCGATGCTCCCTCTCGCAACTCTTCCGTCCTCCCGTGCTCAGTCACCCCTGCTCCCGCCTCCCTCTCCTCTAGTCATGAGTCCATCGATGGGTAATTGCGTTATCATACCATACGATCAGCCAGTCAACAGAACTGCACGGCAACGGGTATATCCGCTAGACCAGTGAACACAACCCTCCAGTTATGGTAGTCAGAATCGCAGTGCGGCATATATAGTCGTAAGTTCGCCGGCGGCATGCATCGTGCGGCTACTGGTTATGATATGGCGCTTCGGGGAAACAAGATGTTGAGGAGGATGGTGGAGGGAAGCATCGAAGTCGGGAGAAGGAGGGGTCAGAGAGGATGAGGTGAAGGACAGAAAGGAAGAGGAGGAGCTGGTCGATGAGAACGATCAGGTTGACGAGGTGGAGAAGGACCAGTGCAAACAAACGACTCATCAACGATGTTTGAATCCACCCTCCCTCTAAGCTCATTTATAGGCCCCTAGGAGGTCTTATTTCCACTCAGGGAAGTGCCCCGTTGGCGGACAAACGTGTGAACATCCTGAAGCGACTCAACCTGACTGTTGCGTCTTGACGATTCTCTTGGATCGTGCCAGGACGCCATGCCTGAGACTTCGGCACCTCGAATCAGCATACGCCTTGCGCCCTGACAGCTCTTAATCGTTCAAAACACGATTAATGCTATTCTTGCCATGATAAGCAGTGGAACCAGTGCACAGGTGGGTACGATCGTGCGCGGCGCTAAGGCGAACGCCACATGCTGAAAGTGGGCCGCCCTCAATCCGTGAATTGCTAGCAAGTTAAAAAGAAAAAACGAGCGCTCGCGGCGTTAAGGCGATAAACACATTTGGAACCGGAGCCGCCCTCAATCCCCAAAGCCACTGCATACTTTTAGTGCGAGTATGCGAGGCGCCCAGGCGAGCACCGCCCTCAGTCCGTGAACTGAGGGCAAATGTTTAAAACGAACGTGCGCATCGCTGATGCGATAATCACATGTTGACAAGGAACCGCCCTCAATCCGTGACGCTTCTGCAAACGTTTAGTACGAATGCGCCCGGCGCGAAGGCGAAAGCCACATTATGAGAACGAGCCGCCTGCAATCCGTGAAACTCTTGCAAATGCTTGAATGACATGTGCGCGGAGCTAACGCAAGGTCCACATGTTCAAAACCACCCGCCCTCAATCTGTTAAGCTCCTGCGAAGTTTTAGTACGAATGTACGCGGCGTTAAGGCGAGAGCCACATTTTGACAAAGGGCCGTCCCCAATCCGCTGAACTGTTGCACATGTTTGGAACGAATGTGCGTTGCGCTAGGGTAACAGCCGCATTTTGGAAGCGACCCGCCATCTGTGGAACTGTTGCCAGGCGAACCCCCCGGCCCGCCCTTCGAATTGGCCGTGGGATGTGACAGGGAGGAGTTATTCACAAGTAAAAAGGAACTCAGGATTAGGAGAACAATGAGGAAGATGAGGAGGAACGCATTCACGATAATGTCGAGGAGGGGAGCATTAAAGCGAAGGAGGAGGAGGAGGAGGAAAAGAAGGGGGCGAAGGACGAGGAGAAGGAGCATTATGATCGCTTCCAGAGGGCAAGACCTGACCTGGGGCCGCGCCACTGCTGGCCCTTGGCGCCGAGAAGAGTCCCCGCGAGTAGGCCGCACGGCCACATATTCCCCACCCGACCGTAGTCTTCGTCATGGAGAAAACGGATCTTGAGGCTTCTCGACATGGCGTGCCGCCCTTATGCCGATTCACCTTCCAGGCCGCCCCCTCCTACCCCCTGGGGCGACTCTGCGGACATCTGCGGGCCCCGCAGGGGGAGGGGGGCGCTGTCTTTCTCGTGGGCCCTCCCACCAGGGTGCCTCCGGAGGTCTCGAAATTCAGAGCAATGACCGGCCGTTCTGGTGTGCGCTCACCTTCCACCTCTCCCTCCTCCTCCTCATCATCATCCTCCTGCCCTTTTGCAGGGCCGCGGACGTCGTTCCCTTTGCCCCAGGGCTGGAGTCGCTTGTTCTTGCTCTTGTCCGCCCTCCTCTCTGTGGCTAGTGTTGGGGAGGACGATGAATGGAGAGGAAGCATGCTGCCAAACAATTTCCAGATGTCTGAAAGATGTCTGAACTTTGGTTTACAGATGTAAAACACATGTAAAAACCTGTTTAGAACATGCTTGGAACTTTCCCCCTACATTGCGAGCACAATCTGAATTCAATGACAGGCCTGTTAGGGTGTCCATTGTCGTGGCATCCACAAGGCTAGTGCGCTCCTCCTCCCCCTCCTCCTCCGTTCTCTCAGGCAGGCCGCCGGAGCGCTCTTGGCGCCAACCTCCTCCTCCTCCTCCTCCTCCTCCTCCTCCTCCTCCTCCATCTCCCCCTCCTCCTTTCCTCCTCCTCCTCCTTCTCCTCCTCCTTTCCTCCTCCTCCTCCCCATCCTCCTCATCCCCCTCCTCCTCCTCCTCCTCCTCCTTCTCCTCCTCCTCTCCCTCCTTCCAGCCCCCCACGTCCCGAGGGATCTGGAACGCGGGGGCAACCAGCTGCCCCCGAAACGCTGCCGCCGCGTTTCCGACACTCCCCCAGAGTGTTCCAGCTCGGGCGGCCGCGCCCGCGATGATGCATAGGCTCAGAGTCTGCAGCTACAATGTGCTTTCTTTGAGACAAGAGGGACGGTGGTACGATATCGCGCAGGAGCTACGATCATGCACAGCTGTCGGCTTGCATTGTGCACAGTGTTCAGGGGCAGGGAATCTTGTGTGTCAGCAGGATCGAGTAGGCAGATTTCACCGCTTCAGATGGCCACGCGCTGGAGGTGTATCAGGCAGACCGACGGGGTTAGGATTGCTGCTTAACGATCGCCTGGTGCAGAGTAGCATGATCAGGCAGATATACACCAGAGGGATGGGAAGGTAGACTTGGAGCTGTTAGATGTAAGAGTAAGCGGATGGATTTCACGTTCATAGTTGGGTATGCGCATACAGAGCCACACGGTTCTCAGAAAGAGCGAAGAGCACAGGAGAAGAGATGCAAACACTTCTGGCTCGGACTGGCACAGCTGATAGACATGTTGCCGTCGCGCACAGTGCCAGTGCTCATGATGGACGCGAATGCCAGGATCGGATCTGTCGAGTCGGACACGCGTGTGGGCACGAAGGAGAACGATGAGGAGAACTACAATGGGAAGTGCTTCCGAGAGTTGCTGGAACATCACCACTTATGTGCACTGAATTCTTATTACGAGACGGGCCCTACGTTCTATCGCGGCTCAGGTGAGTACACTTCCAGAATAGACTATGTGTGTGCCCCACCAGCGGTCTTGTCGAACGTGGAGGCGTGCGAGGTGCGGGGACGGACGGGGGATAGACTGCATATCGTAAACACCAGGACGAGGCGTGATCATTTTCCGCTCGTAGTGCGTTTCAGAGTAGGCCCGTGCTTCGATTTAACGCCGCAAGCTGTGCATGCATAGAATCATGATAAGTTGTCTAGATGCATTAGATTCGGTCTGGAATCCTTGGATTGCTTATCGGCGGTGGACGCGCCCCTGGAAGCTACCGCGCTTGATGTTCAAGACTTGTGTCTCCAGGGACCGGATGCGATGTATAATGAAGTGCGTACCAGAGTGCTGGAGAAGGCACGCGCTGTTTTTTCTAAGCAACCCAAGCGAGAAGCAAGACCTGCGGACACACGGCGAGCGCTGGAGGCGCGGCTGGAGAGCAGGAAAGCTTTAAGGGAGCTGAGAGAAGTGCCGCTTCCTCCCCTCCCTCCTTCCCTTCCTCGGGGTGAGTGTCCTCGGGAGGGGTTTCCTGACTGGGTCCGCTGGGGGGGGGAAGGGAGTGCACGAATTTCTGCCCAGGCAGTTCTTTGGGCGTGTGTGCGCGCTCTCGAGAGCGCGCAACGAAGTTTATGAGCCGCACGCGTGCCTCGCGAGTGTAGTCCACAGCTGTCAGCAGAGAGATAAGAACGTGCGGTCGCATCTGGGACGAGACCGTTCTAGGAGAATGGGGATGTATGCGAGCGAATTAAGTAGGGCAAAGCGACAGGGAGACACAGCGCTGTGCTGGAAGCTGTCTCGTTTGCTTGCCAGTAATAGCTTGGGGCCCAAACAGAGGAATTTTTGTGCTCCCCAGACGCGTCTTGAGAAAGAGACGTGGGAGAAATTCCTGGGGTCACCTGGTAGAGAGGGCGTTTTTTTGGCCAAGTCTCCGCGTCAAAATGAGGAGCAGCAGCGTAGGCAGAACAGAGAGCCCAAGGTGGACCTCACCATTAGTTCCATTCAGCACGGCACGGACGATTATATAGAAGTACGTAGGAAGATGCGCAACACTTGGCTGAGGAGGTCGCCGCCCGACTGGAGCTTCCCAGCTGGAGTGTGGCGGCTGCTGATGTGGCCGAATGAATTTCGCTATAAGCAGTCGGATGCCTCGGTTGAGACGCACGGGGAGGACGACTGGCCTTTCCCGAATATGAATACATGTTTAACTTGGATACGCATGGCAATTAGGCACCACTGTGAAACCCCGTTGCAGCGGCACCAGAACAAAGCTTTTTCGCTGAGCAAATTAAACGGAAAGGGCGAGTGCAAGGTCCAGAGGCTTGTGCATTCGCTCGGCTCATTCGGTAAATCAGGCTATGGAGTGATGTGGAGCAGGCACTCCGAGCTGACACGTTCTGCCGATAGAGTATACTCTTTTGGGCGCTTGAAGCGTAGGCGCCGAGAGGAGGCGATGCTCGCGCAATGTGTGCGTGCGGCTCGCTTGCACTGTAGTAAAATAGGCAGGCGTACCACTCTATATGATGTCGCGAACGCGTTTCACAGTGTTGAGCATGAGTACTTGCACGCGTACGTAGGTGAGCATTGTGACGTGTTTGGTGCCGAGCTGTTCAAACAGAGACTACGGTTCGCGCAATTGCCGATCGAATGTGCGGATGGGGCGCTGGTCATGGGCATCGGGCAGGGCACGCTACCTGGGGACACGATCGCGTGCATATGGTTCCTGGGGGCCTATAATAAGCCGTTGGACGTGTTCAGGGATTCGGATGCGTCCAGCCTGTATGTGCAGACGCAGTGGCTTAGGCATTGCTTAACCGATTGTCCTGACGGTAGAGTACTGCTGAATCAAAAGTCCAGGGGGGTCATGGACATCTTGCTGTCTAGTTTTTTGATGGTATTGCAAGAACTTCAGCAGTGACAGACGCTACGCATTGCAGGCTGCGAACGTTTTCGTAGTACAGATCGTTGGAAGGTGAGCTGAAGGAGATAGGTGTTGCGATGAATGGTGAGAAGCAGGAATCGCTGGTTCAATTGGCGGGGAAAGGGATTCAGGAGGGCATGGGGAGGCTGTGTAGAGACCAGAATTGGATGTTGGGAAAGGTGAAGAGGGGCGCTAAGTATTTAGGAGGCCGACTACACTTTCAAGGTAGCTCGAAGCCCGAGGTTGAGCTACGCGTGCGGCGCGCCAGGCAAGCCTTCGCCGTACTAGGCAGTTGTTGGTCAGAAAACAGGAATGTTAAGTGGGGGACGGCGGTTTTCAAAAGCATGGTGGAGGGATCGCTTCTTGCGGAGCTCATCGCTTACCCTCTGAGCGAGACTAGTTTGCAGCGTTTGGGGGGAGTCCAAGCACATCTTTGCTGGGCGCGCTCTGCAAGGCAAAGGCTGTTTGAAGATTGCTGCCACCAGTAAATGCCATAAAAAAAGATATCGAGCTTAACCCAACACGGAGATAAGGAAGGAGATGGAGTTAAGGGCACCCTACTGCACCTTGAGAGCTTGGAGGATTCGCTGGTGGCAAGGGCTAGTACGACCGCCTGAGAAGCACTTGTTAGTCTTGGCAGAGATGGTTGGATATGCTGCCTGGGATCAGCTCAACCTATGCGATGTACATGGGAATGCGTGTGCTGCGCCAGGTACTAGTGCTGTACACCAATGGTGGGGCCAGTTTCTATTGGATGTTTCTGTGTGTATCGCGGACCTGGGACTGCCCGAAGTTCGACCAGCACTACTCCGAAGGCCAGTGGAGCTTCTTTGCAATTCATAGATCAGGGAGGCGTTCCTAGGTGCGAAGGTGTCGCAGGTCAAGAGGGCTGAGGGGGGACCGAGGACGTTCGAGGAGACCTACGCGGAGGGGGTGGAAGCGAACGGGGTGGGCGAGGAGATTGGAAGGGGGACAGTTGGGAGGAGATGAGGCGCAGGTTTGACCGCCCCCTGGTCTTGAACTTGTTCCAGAGGTTCTTGCCCCCGCTCCATGCGTGTGCGATATTGAGGGCTGTGGAATGGGATTTAATTCTCGCAGGCAGCTCCTGCTACACCAGGCCAACCCAAAAGCGGGCGGCCATGGGGAAAACAACATCGCTAAGATCTTGACGGTGTCTAACAAATGTATTAAATGTGACAAATTCTATACCACTCGGAGATATGCTTCAGAACATCTAGCAGTCAGTATCGCTAGAGGTGTGTGTCCGAAACCCAGGGGATCGGTTGCCATTCATAGTCATACGGTGGATCCTCCCTATAGGTGTGAATTCTGTGATATGGAGTTTGCCTCGTACGTGTCGGCCAGGGCCCATCTGGTCAGCCACGTTCCTGGGTAAACGGGGATGCGTGATAATTAAGTGCGCTAACATGCGGGGGTTGTTGCTATCGTGGCTCAGAGGTGGCGAGGCGTATCGAAGCTTGTTTCTTCTCACGGTGCGCCGACGGCATGTGGGCGGATCAGTTCGCATCATGTGGACCAGGAGATGCGTCGGCAGCACCGCAAGGGCGGGCAGTTAAGTATGCGAAGGCCGAGAATACGGAGGACAAGGCGAAGATTAACCTCTCTCTGCGCCTGGGGGTGATTGCACATCAAAAGCTTCGTCTTTTGGAGGCGGCGCGCACGTCGCAGTGTGAGATCAGTACGGAAGAAGCTTTATGGCAGGCGATGCAGAAGGCGCACAATGAGGGGTACCTCCCTCGTGTGCGAGGCAAGAGCGGACACGGTCTGGGGCCGCCCGACACGTTCAACCTGACGGCAGCGTGCATTACGATGGCGGACACTGCGGCCCCAGAGATCAACGAGGTGCTGATGGATTACCTCAACAAGTACAAGCCTGGCAGTCGGGAGGCTCAACTTGTCGTCGGTCTCTTTCGGACGGAGAAGATGTTCGACAGCAAGAAGAAAAGGCTCATGATCGTGATGAAAGATGAGAAAGTTGAGCGTGTTCTACTGTGTGCTGTGGACGCGGCGGGAAAGAAGGTGGCGTGGTCGGGTCCTCGCCCTGCTGGTCATCTGGAGGTGGAGGGTCAGAAGATCATCGAGGCAATGTCGGCGTAGTACTGGGTGAGGAGTCTCCAGAGTACCCGATGGAAATGGAGTGAGCTGCAGGTGCGCGAGGGACATGAGTGAGGCCCGCAGTGTGAGCTTCTCTTTTTGTGTGCCGTAATTTTGTGCTCGTGAATCGTGTGCCGCTGCAGCAGGTGCATAGTGAGTTTACGTCTGCCCGTGGAAGTGAAAGGTCGGAGATTTGTTGTTGGCATTTAGCTGACCACTGAAAGGCTGGCCGCCGCATGAATATTTTAGTGCGACCTCGTCCCAGTTTCAAGGAAGTCGCTGCTCCTCTTAGTTTGGTGCAAATACGGGGATCCCTCCTGCGGTCGTCTCGTCCCTTCCCCCTCCTCTCGCCCTTCCCGCTCCTCCTGGGCCGCGGGCCTCTCCTCCCCCCCTCGGGGGCCGTCCCTGGCTGGGGGCTGAGTGAAACGCCCCCACCTGGCCGTCCGTGCGCGGACGCCCCCTCCTTCCTCCTCCTCATCCTCCTCCTCCCCCTCCCCATCCCTTTCCTCCCTTACTCCTCCTCCTCCTCCTCCTTCCTCCTCCCCCTCCTCCTCATCCTCCTCCTCCTCCTCCTTCCTCCCCTTCCTCCTCCTCCTCCTCCCCCTCCCCCCCCCTTTTTTTCCCTCTCCCCCTTCCTCCTCACCTTTTCTCCCCTTCCCCTTCCCCTCCCCCTTCCCCTCCCCATCCCCCTCCTCCCCCTTCCTCCTCACCCTCCTTCTCCTCCTTCTCCTCTTCCTCCTCCTCTCTGCCACGGGGCTCGCTGCGGGTGGTCATACAACGAAGCATTCACCTTCCAGGGCCGCCCACCGACCCCCGCCGTGGGGCGACCTTCTGGGCGCTCGGCGCAGGAGAGCCTCGGCCGCGAGCGAACGGCGGCGCTTCTGTCCGATGGCAGGGGGGAGTACCTGGAGCTGCTCGGCCAGGGCAACTTCAAGCAGGTGCGTTCGGTGGCTAGTCATGGGAGCCTTGTGTACCCCCGTACTTCTGGTCGACTAGCGTCTGGTCGTCGATGAGATAGCGCCGACTTGGCGTCCGCGAGCGTCGATTTAGTGTGACTGGCGTCGATGAGCGCCGATTCTCGCAAGAGCCAACAAGATGGCACGGGAGGCCCAAATGCGTTGCCACCGAAGGTGTGTGTGGTGTGCCGCTCGCGCCGGGAGCTCCGCTCCCACCACTGCAAGGACCGGGGGGGCAGAAGCACGATGGCCATGCCCAAGACGTCGCGGGATCCCATCGACGCCGATCTTGGTTAGAGGCCCATGTCAGCCATCGCCGAGTCATCAGGAGGGCCCACGGGCTGACGGTGGCCAAGATGCGCGACGACCAAGATCGTCACCGAGGTTTCCGTGTTCAGTCCTGGTCGTGGTCTTCGTTTTCTGTCGCTTCGAAGGAGTGCGGGCGCTGCGTGCGCCGGCTCGACCACCACTGCCCCTGGATCGACAACTGCGTCGGGATCGGCAACCAGAGGACGTTCTACTGCTTCATAGTGGTGCTGTTCGCCACGATCCTAGGCTACTACTACTGCGCCGCACTGTATGTGGTCTCCTCCACGCCCTCGGCTCGTCCTTCTCGTCTGGGAGCAGAACATCGGCATAAACACAGCACGTTCGGAGGTTCGTGCGGTGTTCCTGGATCTGCGCTGCACGCCCCCTGCAGCGCCGGAGGGGCCGCCAGGGGGGCCAGGCGCAGATCCGAGAACTCCGCGCGGTGCTCGGACAGTGTATGCGGGTGTTCTTTTTCAGAGTGAGGAGGGCGATCGGTCATCCACTGCCCCTGGGCAAGTGGCTGAAGTGGGGTTCCGCGGGGCTGATGTTGTTGCGGTTGCTGCTGCCGTTGCCGAAGTGATGGTTGTTGCTGTTGTTGTTGCTGCTGCTGTTGCTGTTGTGCTTGTTGTTGCTATGGTGGTTGCTGCTGTCGTTGGTGTTGAGGTTGATGGTGCTATTGTTGTTGATTGTGGTGGTGTCGTTGGTGTTGTTAGTGTGGTTGTTGTTGTTGCTGTTGCTGATGTAATTGATATTGTTATCGTTGGCTTCATCGTTGTCTTCGTCCTTGTCGTTGTCGTTATTGTTGTTGTTGTTGCTGCTGTTGTTGTTGTTGTTGTTGTTGTTGTTGTTGTTGTTGTTTCTGCAGTTGCTGTTGTTGTAGTTGTTAATGCCGTTGTTGTTATTGATGCTGCTGCGGTTGCAGTTGTTGCTGCTGGTTCCTTTTGTTGTTGTTGTTGTTGAAGAGTTTTCATGCGTAAAGAAAATTCGACTTGGTTCCCCCCCTCTGGAGACCATTTTATTTTTCAAATTAAGTGCTGCTCCTGGGTCTTGCACCATGTTTCCTGTTACAAGGGAAATGAGCTGTCACCAAACTGCGCTGTTTGGCCCCGAGCTACAACAACAACGGCTCCCGCCGAATACTTCCTCACCGTGTATTCTCCAAACGCGCTCTCGCGCGGGACATCCTCACAAGTTTACAAGAATCGTTCTGTCGCGTGGGACTTCCTGGCAATGTATCAGACGCCGCGCCCTCGACACTCACGAATCAGGATCTCGCTTTCTCTTTTCGCGCAAGTTTTAAGTGGGAGTCGTTTTACCGCTTGAACCTCCTTGCGATGCATGCAGGATTCACGCTTCAGCAACCCGCGTGCTCGACCTGGCCGCCTGGGCCCGCTTTCTAGACCCGCCTGTTAGGGTCTACGGTTCTGCCACGAATTTTCTGCTGATCGCCCCCCTCCTGCCGATCTCCTTCGTGTTCCATCCTTCTCCATCCCCCTTCCATCCGTCCTCTTTTCCTCTGTCCTAGGGGCTGTGCTGCATAACTACACGTGGCAGGTAAGGAAGACATACCCCGAGGGGGTCACGATCGAAGACGGACAGGGCGGGTACCGAGGGTGCTGGATTTACATGACGAGTGGCACGCGAGCAGACCAGAGCGAACCGTCTCAAGTTGATTGTTGGTGTTGTCACCCTCGCCCACGACACCCGCGACCCATCCGCGACCCATCCCGCGATTGCGAGGTGCTGCGTTATTCCTCTATCGCCGTCGCTTCCGCACCCCTCCTACTACATCCTCCATGAGGTCGACGCCATAGTCCCGGCGTGGACCAGCGGGCGGGCGGTCAGAACGCTCGTGACGGTCTCCGAGTGGTCCTGGGGGCCAGAGCTGCGGCCACTCATGGCGCCAGGGGGGTCCTCGCCGTCGTCGCAGGACGCGAGCATAACGTCAAGGGAGAGGAGGAGGAGGAGGAGGAGGAGGAGGAGGAGGAGGAGGAGGAGGAGGAGGAGGGACGAGAGGATGAGGAGGAGCAGGAGGAGGACCAGTGCAAGCCCAAGATTCATCAAAGGTCTTACAAGGAACCCTCTCTCCGAACTCCCTATTCACAGGCCCCATACGCGGATTGATTTCCACTGATTGGAAATTGCCCCGTTGGAAGACAACCGTTTGAACATCCAGAACTGTACCAGAAAACCATACCTGGGACCTCAACGCCGCGAATTACTGTTAGTGTCGCGTCTTGACGACCCCGAGTCGAGCTAGCACACCATCCTGGGGATCCCACCACCGCGAATCGACTTAACTGTCGTGCCCTGACATTCCGACATTGTCTGCCACAACACCAGAACGGTAGCCATGATAATCCTTGGTGTGAACTCTTAATTCGCATGTGCACGGGGCTCAGGCGAGAGCCAAAGTTCTAAAGAAGCTAACCTCCATCCGTGAAACGGGTGCAAGTTTTTAAGGCGAGTGTGCGCGGCGTTGGTGCGAGAACAGCATTTTAAGAGCGGGCCGCCCTCGACCTGTCAAACTCTCCAAATTCTCAGCTTAAGGGGCACGGCTGGTGAGGAAGTTTCAGGCGATGCGCCCGACCCGCCCTGCCGACACGCCCCCGAGTGCGACAAGGAGGAGTTCTGTGTAAGGACGAGGAATGGAGGCACCACAAGGCAGGAAGAGGAGGAGAGCAGAAAGAGGCAAGAGGACGAGAAGGAAGGAGGGCGCGTCGGGATCAGGGGTGCGGGAGCAGGGGGGAGGCTGGGATGATGATGATAACGATAATCATGATGATGATGATGATGGTGATGCTGATGATGCTGATGATGATGATGCTGATGATGATGGTAATGATGATGATGCTGATGATGATGATGATGATGATGATGATGATGATGATGGTAATGATGATGATGATGATGATGATGATGATGATGATGATGATGATGATGATGCTGATGATGATGATCAGCATCGTCATCATGATGATGATAATCATGATGCTGATCTTGAGTACGATGATGATAAGTGTGGTGATGATGCTGATTATGGTGATGATGCTGATGCTGATGCTGATGCTGATGATGATGATGATGATGATGATGATGATGATGATGATGATGATGATGAGAAGGAGGAGGAGGAGGAGGAGGAGGAGGAGGATGAAGAGGAGGAGGAGGAGGATGAGGAGGAGGAGGAGGAGGAGGAGGAGGAGATGGTCGAGGGAGAGGAACCGTGCAGAAGCAGCGGGATAATGAGGGGGAGGAAGGCGAGGGGCAGTTGGGAGGAGGGAGGAGGGTGGATGACATAGAAGAAAAGGAAGCGTGACGCAGGATGCGTGATGGAGGAAGGAGGTACGAGGCAGAGGGAGCATGCAGGAGGAGGACGACGAGGGTGAGGGAGGGTCACGAGGAAGGCAGGAATGAGGAGAAGGAGGCACATGGAGGTAAGTAAGAAGGCCATCCCTCTCTCCCGCTCTGGCCCTCTTCTCCTCTCACCCTCTCCATCTCTCCGCTGTCGTAATCGATCCTTCCCCGCGCCTTCCCGTCTCCCCTTTCCTCTCCTCACCTCTTGTGTTCCCTCCTTCCCCCCTTTTCCCTCTGGCCCCCCCTCCGTCTTCCTCTGCCTCTCCCTCTCCCTCCCCCCCGCGCCGTTCCATCCCCTGCAACTCGCCCCTCCTCCCTGCTCAGGGCGTGGGGCGGGGTGGTGGGGGCGCGGGCGCAATCCGGATGTGCGCTCTTCTCCGGTTCTCTCCACAGGTGCTCCTCGGAGGCGCCTTCAACTCCGTGTGGCTCGCCTTCGTCGGTGCCCTCGTCGCCAGGCACACGGCCTACATGGCGGTCAACGTCACGACGTTCGAGGTGCTGACGAGGCCGGCGCACGTGCAGAGGCGCTTCCCGCGCCAGCAGGGGCGCTTCTGGTTCCTCAAGAGCTGTGACTTGCAGAGGACTGGCGGCGCCGAGCGAGGGGGAAGGGCGAGTGGGGAGGTGGGGGATGAGGAGGAGGAGGAGGAGGAGGAGGAGGAGGAGGAGGAGGACGAGGAGAAAGAGGAGGAGGAGGAGACGGAGGAGAAGGAGGAGGAGGGGGAGCAGGAGGAGGAGGAGGGAGGAGAAAGAGGAGGAAGAGGAGGAGGAGGAGGAGGAGCAGGAGGACGAAAAGCAGGGGGATAGGAGAAGGAGGAGGAGGAGGAGGAGGAGGAGGAGGAGGAGGGAGGAGGAGGGCCTAGGGGGAGCAGGAGGAGGAGGAGCAGGAGGAGGAGGAGGCGGAGGAAGAGAGGCAGGGGAAGGTGGAGGGATGGATCGGGGCCAGGACCATGTCCACTATCGGATGTTATGCTTGTCCACCGTTTGGAGGCATGTGTTCCACACCTGTCGCCCGGAGAACGGGCCGGAAACTTCGACACGAAAAGCGATCCTGTGGCGATTTGGCGAAGCCCCATGGGGCAGGTTCCATATTCCCCATTTCTGTACGCAGGGTGCCCTCCACCTGTCTTCCCTTTCGTCTGCGGCTTGCTCAGATGCTTCGGGCTCTCGGAGTGATTGATATCAACACTGAGGGACATCTTGGAGGTGATGTCGCCGCTGGCAAAGTTGGAGCTCGCTGCACCACGCTGTTCGGTTTGGGGTGATCAAAGCCAGGCGTGCTTGCATGTCAGCGCTCAAGTCAGGTCCGCCCCGCAGGAAGCTGCTGGGTCAGATAAGTCGTGCGGCGCTGGAGAAAGCCACGTCCTTCGGGACAGCTGTAACAGGTGTCAACGAGTCCGAGCTTTTGACGCTCCGCAGCTTAACAGGCAAGTTGCAGGATCACAAGCAGTCTGCAAGAGTCTCGCGCTCTCCCTGATTCTGCCCCCCAAGGTCAACTTGGATCCTATCATCAGAGCCATTTGGTTGCCCGTCAAGTTCTTCATTTGGTGTCTTTATAAGTAATGGGTGCCCCCCCAGATCCTCGATCAGTCTTGAAGGTTCGTCAATGAGCGCTTCAAGGATATCAAGTACCCCTGGGGCTCCATAGAGGGACCCTTCACGACCCTGTGGACCTCTCTCAAGCTTTTCCGCGTGTCGGTCTTCAAGAGGATTCGGTTTCCGAATGATGTTTCCTGAACACCGTCTCCTGAATATATACATATATATATATATATATGAAGGCTGCCCATACGTTGTCCAGCAGCACGTTTTTAGCGCTGTTTATCGTTGGCAACGCAATGATTTAGCCGAGCATGATGAACCGATGTGTTCCTTGCCCCTGCACTTTCCTAAGGCCAGAGGCAACGTTCGTTCTTGTGTCATGGATGTTCAGTGCCCCATGGCTCGTCAGTGGATGGCTGGATACACCATGGAACCCAACTCCCTAGCATACAGCAGAGCTGGCGTCACTTAGCTTGGCACGCTCGTGTATCGGCATGCGTTGCATCCCGATGATCCCCATCCCTTTTGCGGGTCCATCGGCACGGTTGCCAGGCCAGGTGGTCTGCCGCAGCCGCTAACTGAGAGATGTATTATGCCGATCCCCTTCCTCGCGAGTCCTCGTTTTCCCGACCTGCCCTCGATGCTTTGGGTCCAAGGGCGTGCGGACCAGCTCACTGGAGATGTTTTCCTTGACGGCTCGGTTTTCGATGGAGATTTAGGATTTTACGCTTCTGGATCATAGGCCACTGTTGCACTCGATCGGGGCTCCTCTTCCATCGTTGCTATGTTGCGTGGGCCCTTTTCAATTATGAGTTCCCAACGATTAATGATGCTGACATGCTTGCCTTGTTGCGCATGCTACAGCATGGAGCCCCGCTTCTTGTCTTCCAAACTGATTGTGAGTATGTGTTTGACGGTGTCATGGCTCGTGGCAATATTGTTTACACACACATTCTAGCCTACACTCCTTCTACGGCGCCAAATGTGGTACAGGCTTGATGATTGAAAGCCCGATGGGTCTGAGTCGTGTTGTCGGTTCGGTTCGTCGAAGTGCTTGCTCACACCAGACGTGCCGATATTCGTGCTGGCCGAGTGCCCAACCGCTGGAAGCGGGGCCACGATGCAGCGGATACCGACGCGCAGTGGGCAGCGCAGGCCTTCCGCTTGCCTGCCGCCGCCGCCGCCGCCGCATCTGAACTCCTAGCGACGTTGGGTGGGCAGGATTTGGGGAAGACCTGCCTGACACCCCTCACCCTCTTGCCCTCCAGCGCCGCAGAGCGCCGCATCCACGAGAGCTGCAGATAGTTTGCGAAAAAGGCCCGCCCAGTGACCTCGTTTCGAGGGCTCTTGCCGCCTCATCGCTCTCGTGCTGCTACGGGTGATCGGCTAAGGTTCGCAGGCCTAGAGGTTGGCACCAACACCAAGATCGGCGTTGTGCCTCCACCGAGGGAAGAAAATCCCAATCTCGGTGATGGTGGTACTGTTCTGGCTGCCAAGGTGGCCGACCTATTACCACCAACGCCGAAATCTAGGATCACCTTCCCCGTGTGGAGGCAGCCCCCCTGTGTTGGTGTTGGTGCCCATTCCAGGCCTCCAGAAGTTCACTTCTGCAAGTGGTTCTCCGGGGCCGAGTTTCTCTCGTCGGCTGCCGCCGCTGTGGTCGCCTCTCGCCTCGCCTCGGCTCGCCAGGCTCGCTGCGCCGGGCTCCAGCCACCTCCCGGCCTGGGCGCGCAGGCCACGGCAGAGGCTCGACAGAGGCACGTGCAGGCTCGTGTACCCTGGAGGCTCTCGAGTTCTCCCTGGATCCTTGAGGCCAGCCCGAGGTCTTGAAGAGTTCGCTCTGTCTTTCTACATGTTGTTGATGGTCGGGGATTTTCTGGCGCGCCATGCCTTGCCCAGCAGGAGGAGGAGGAGGAGGAGGAGGAGGAGGAGGAGGAGGAAGAGGAGCAGGAGGAGGAGGAGGCGGAGGCGGAGGAGGCGGAGGGGGGGCAGGGACGTCGACTATTTAGCGCCAGCCAGCATCGGCCAGCGTTGACCAGCGTTGACCAGCGTCGACTAGTGTTGTTTTGCGCCGATGCGTTTTGGGAGGTGCCCATGAGTTGCCACCGAAGTGGGGGGAGGTGGAGGGCTAGATGTGGCTTGCATGCAGGAGGCAGGGGGGGAGGAGAATGAGGCGGAGGAGGAGGAGGAGGAGGAGGAGGAGGAGGAGGAGGAGGAGGAGGAGGAGGTGGCAGCAGGCGGCGGAGGAGGAGGAGGAGGAGGAGGAGGTCGTGGGCATGCGGGGCGTAAGTCATTGGGAGCTCGCCGGAGGAGCCTCCGGAGCATCCTCGGCTACTGGACGCTGGACATGAGCCAGGATGCGGGTGAGCTGAGGGATGAAGGCGGAGTCCCCGATCTCCGACGCCATGGCTTTCGCACGACGTGGGCCTTGGCTTGGGCCCTTTCCCCGGTCCATCCCGGGCTGTTTCTTGACAGCCCCTTGCCCCGTGAGGGCCCCCAGAGGCTGAACATATTCAGAAATTTCCCGCCTTGATTTTTCATGGCCCGAGAGGAGAAGGAGGAGGAGGAGGAGGGGAAGGAGGAGGAGGAGGGGGGGAGGGAGGAGGAGGAGGAGGAGGAGGAGGCGGAGGAGGAGGAGGAGGAGGAGGAGGAGGAGGAGGAGGAAAAGGAGGTGCAGAAGGAGGAGGAGGAGGAGGAGGAGGAGGAGGAGAAGGAGGAGGAGGAGGAGGAGGAGGAGGTAGAGGAGGAGGAGGAGGAGGAGGAGGAGGAGGAGGAGAAATACCAGAAGGTGCAGGGCCGCGGACTAGCTTACTCCTGCCCCGTCGGGCCACTTCTTTTTTTCCTTCCGTTGTTGCTTCACTTTAACCGCACTTGCCCGAGGCATCTTTTGTTCGCTCGCTCCGCCTCAGCTGGCGCTTAGTTCATTTATTTGAGGAGCGCAACAAGTCAGATTTTCATGTCCGCCTAGGGTTAAAATAATGAGGAGGAGGAGGCTTAAGCAGGCGTTTCGTGTCTTCTCTCGAGAAGGGCCACAAGCCTGGCTTCAATGTCCGCCGAACGTCTAATCAGAGGAAGAGGAGGAGGATGAGGAGGAGGACGACGAGGAGGAGGAGGAGGAGCATGAGGAGGAGGAGGGAGGAGGAGGAGGAGCAGGAGGAGGAGGAGGAAGAGGAGGAGCAGGAGGGGGAGGAGCAGGAGGGGGATGAGGAGGAGGAGGAGGACCAGGAAAAGGAATACCAGTAGGAAGGCCAAGAGGGGCAGCAGCAGGACGCTGCCGACTTCGAGCCGGCGGGCCCCGGCGAGCCCGAGAAGGGCACCGGCCGCGGGCGGCGGCGCAGCGGCCACCCGGCAGCGCCATGGGCAAACTGCACAAATCGGCCCCTCTCCTTCCTCGTGTCTCCTTCCCTTCCCACAGCCCCGACGATATGATTTTTGATGTCCAGCTCGCGGTGTTGCTGTGTTCCTTCATTTCGCCCTTCGGCAGCCGTTTCCGGGCCCCAGGACTGTCAAAGATGGACCTGGAACGTAGATTAACCCCGGGGAAGGGGTCGGGGCTTCTGGTGTCGCATATGGGAAACACTAGATCGGATGATGTCTGAGGAGAGCCTCTCGCAAGGCTGCAGGGCCTCTGGGAAGCCCCGCCGCCTTTGAGACGGCTCGCCCCGCCTCGCTCTGCGACCGCTTGTGAATCTTAACTACCCCTGCGGGTCCAGCCGACGCAGGGTATCGGACGCCCCCGCTGGGGCTCACCTGGCTGCGGAGATCATCCGAATTCTGAGCCCCCACCCGCTTGTCATAAATAGGCTATGCAGGGGTAGGGCTCAGATGTCGCCGCGCTGTTTGTTCCGACGCGCGGCCTTACGCCGTGGGGAGGGCGCCGCGGGCACCAGGGCAAACGCCGCCTCGGGCGCGGTGGACTTGCCGTCGGCTTTGCCGCGGCGCCGGCTTCGTCTCCTCGGGCACGAGACGCAGGGTTTGCTGCGGGTTTGCCGTGGTGTCGGCGTCGTCCACTTGGGCGCGTCGAAAACAAACGGCGCGGCGGCAGATGTGGTTGCCTACTGAGCCAGGGCGCCAGATCTTGCAGGACCCTCCGGAGCCAGGGCGCCAGATCTTGCAGCATCCTGCAGAGCCAGGTGCACTGACCCGTGCCCGCGCGCAGGATCTGGCAAGCTCTTGCAAGATCCTGCAAAGCCCGACTGACCCGGGCTTGCATTCCAGACATGCGACGTCCTGATTTTTTCAATACGGGGTCCCTGGAAGTCACGACCCTTTCCCCGGGACCGGTTTTTCATCCTGAGTGGTTTTTTGACGGTCCCGAGGCCCGGCGAGGGCCCCCCGATGCCGAAAACGGCCAAAAACCCGCCGTCCTGATTTTTGTTACGCCGCGATCATGTCTGGGATTGAGTCGGGCCAGCAGATCCCCGAAGGGGTATAGGGCTCAGATGTGCCTGCGTACTGCCCCCCTCCCGGCGCGCCGCCGAGCCTCTTGCCCTGTACCCCGAGGGCGACAGCCCCAGCAGCGCCACCGCGGGCGACCACGGGGACGAGGAGGGCGGCGTCACCGGCCGGGGCTGCGACCCGGACCGGCTCGAGTCCCTGCTGGCCTGCGAGAAGAGAGACGTGTTGTCTGCGGCGATCCTGTGCTTGAGTCGGGCATGTCCCTCTGCAGGAGGGATATTCAACAAGAAAACTGAAATCAGAAGGCAGCTCGCCGCTGGGGCCCCACAGCCAGCCCAAACGGCGAGCATACATCGGGCGTAGCCCCGCGCGCATTTGGATGCCCACGCTTCGTCCTCGTACTACTCGCAGACCCTCAGCACGGTGAGTGCGTTGACGGCGTCCTGGTCGTACCAGGGGCACATTTAGGTTGCGCCCTCGGCCGCCGAGAATAAATCCGTCTCCTACTGGTTGCGCCATAGGTGGCGCCCTCCAAGAATAAAACCTGTCTCCTATCGGTTGCGCCATAGGTTGCGCCCTCTGGGGCCGAGAACAAAATTGTCTCCTACCGGTTGCGCCATAGGTTGCGCCCTCGGCGGCTTAGAGTAAAACCGTCTCCGATTGGTTGGGCTATACGTTGCGCCCTCGGCCGCCGAGAACAAAACCGTTTCCTATCAGTTGCGCCCTCTGAGCCGAGAATAAAACCGTCTCCTACCGGTTGCGCCATAGATTGCGCCCTCGGCGGCTGAGAGTATTGGTTGCGCCATAGGTTGCGCCCTCTGGGGCCGAGAATAAAACCGTCTCCTATCGGTTGCGACAAAGGTTGCGCCTTCGGCCGCCGAGAATAAAACTGTCTCCTATCGGTTGCGCCATAGGTTGCGCCCTCGGCCGCCGAGAATAAAAATGTCTTCTGTCGGTTGCGCCATAGAGCGCCCTCTGCTGCCAAGAATCTAATCGTTTCCTATCAGTTGTTCCAGAGGGTGCGCCCTCTGGGGCCGAGAATAAGACTGTCTCCAATCGGCTGCGCCATAGGTTGCGTCCTCGGCGGCCGATAGTAAACCCGTCTCCTATCGGTTGCGCCATAGCTTGCGCCCTCTGCCGCCGAGAATAAAGCCATCGCGTAACTTGTGCGACCAGCCATTTCGGATTTGTTCAGTTTGGTTCAGTCTATTTCAGTTTACTGTTCAGTCCAGTCCAGTCCAGCCAAGTCAAGTTTACGTCGCGAGAAACCAATTCGGGCTACGACCGAAAACAAAAGTCGTGTTGGGACGATTGATCGACTTGTTTCGCTCTCTTTGATAATTGTTTGACCGTGTTTCATTTCTCTTCCAAAACCCGCCTGTAGGAGGACATGCCTGACCTAATTCCATACGTACTTCCTCTCCCCCCTGTTAGGCAGTGGCGAAGCGTCCTGTTTTGCCGATAGGCCCATCAGGAAGCGCTCACAGAGCCTCGTGTGGCCAGAATAAGAAGCTACCAGAAGATGTCTGGCTGAGGCAGCCTTGTTGTCAGACACCCGGTGGATGTTCGGAGCACGCCGTTTTCGTCATTAAACGCTCGTCCGCTACAAGACAGGCCCGCGGTAGGCTTGTAGACATTCCAGGGCGGTCGGTCCCTGCGCCACCCTCGTCCCCAGCACCTCTTCGCCGTCCTGCCTTGTCCTACCTCGTCCGCCTCGTCATTCCCTCTCATCCTCTTCCTCGCACCTTCATATGTTATACCTCTTCTGCTCTGGAGTATCTTCGTTATCCTATTCCCCCTTCCGACCTGTACATGCTACATGTGACCTCCTGACGCTTGCCTCCCCCCTTACCTCGTCCAACCTCCTCCGAAGTCCTCCGATCTCCTGCCTGATCCTACCTCTTGTCTGCCTGTTCCTGCTCCTGTAGTGCAAGCTGTGCCTGCCTCTTCCTGCACCCTTCCTGCCTCCCTCCTCCTGCCTCCCACCTCATGCCTCTGCCTCCCTCCGCCTCCCTCCGCTTCCATCTCTCCCCTGATCCCTTCTGCTCTCTGGCACCTCCTTTCTGTCCCCTGCTTTTCCCCTGCCTCCTCCTCCTCCTCCTGCCTCCTCCTCCTGCCCCTTCCTCCTGCCCCCTCCTCCTGCCCCTTCTCCTCCTGCCCTCTCCTCCTCCTGCCCCCTCCTCCTGCCCCTCCTCCTCCTCCTCCTCCTCCCCTCCTCCTCCTCCTCCTCCTCCTCCTCCTCCTCCTCCTCCTCCTCCTCCTCCTCCTCCTCCTCCTCCTCCTCCTCCTCCTCCGCCTCCTCCTGCCTCCTCCTCCTCCTACTGCCTCCTCCTCCTCTCCTCCTCCTCCTCCTCCTCCTGCCTCCTCCTCCTCCTCCTCCTGCCTCCTCCTCTTCCTCCTCCTCCTGCCTCCTCCTCCTCCTGCCTCCTCCTCCTGCCTCTTGCCTTCTCCTGCCTCCTTCTTCCCTCCCAGGCGAGCGGCGCCGGGGCGGGCGGCATGCACACCGGGCCGGGCCTGGGCAGCACCTGGCCCCCGGGGCAGCCAAAGCCGCAGGGGCAGCGGCGGATTCGGCCTCCCCCAGGAGGGGTAGTTCGGAGAAGGTGGAAGCTGCGTGTTTTTGAAGCAGGATCGGGCTTCAACAGCGGCGCGTTTTTGAGGCTGGATCCAGCTTCAGAACCGCGCAGCTCTCTCAGGTTTTTTTAGGCCAGATCCGGCTTCAAAGGCACGCAGTTTTTGTAAGCCGGATCCGGGTTCAAAAACACACGCAGTTGTTGTAAGGTGGATGCGGCTTCAAAAACACGCAGCCTCTCAGTACCGCTCTCCTTGCCTCGTTTTCGCACTGTGGGGCCTCCCGGGAGGCCCTTGTTGCCACGGCTGGATGCTCCTCGGAACTCGGGTCAGGGCGCGATCCGGGAGGGGTCCGGGGAGTGCGGTGTTGGTATCTCTGGGTGTCCCCAGGGATGGAGGAGTCCCGGGGAAGGACAGGCATCGGAATAAGAGCATGACGATGAAGAGGAGGAGGAGGAGGAGGAGGAGGAGAAGGAGGAAGAGGAGGAGGAGAAGGAGGAGGAGGAGGAGGAGGAGGAGTTGGGATTGGGTACGCGCCAAGAGGAGGAGTTGGGATGTAGGAGGTGGGAGTAGGACGCGGAGGAAGAGGTGGAGGAGGCGGAGGTGGATGAGCAGAATAATACAGGAAGACGAGGAGTCGATAGGAGGAACTGTGAGAGATGAAGTTGAGGTCGGAGACAAATGGAATTTCGGCCTCTTCCGCCTTTCCCGTAATCCTCACCCCCCCCTTAGAGGGGGAGAAGATGGAGGAGCATGAGTGCATTTGGGATGAGCAGCCCGAATGTCGAGGCAGAGCAAACATGTATTAAGGCGTGTGGATTGGCCACGGTCCAGTTTCCGTGCACAATCGGCGCTCTCTGTCGCCAAGTCGGGTGGCATTGGACTCCTGTTTTTGAAAGCATGTTCTCCGGTCTGCGGCCACGCGCGAGATCCACGGATCCGTAATCCATGTTGGCGTGTGCCCGAGAGTCTCACCGCATCTGTGGCCACGGCCGCCCTCCAGGCCACCACGGTCGCCCCAGCCGCAGCACGACGCCTCCAGCCCAGCGAAAGCCTTGTGGTCGCAGCAGGGCTGAGCCGGCAGCTGAGCGGAGGAGCATCAGGATGAGTGATGGAGGAGGAGGAGGAGGCGGAGGCGGAGGAGGAGGAGGTAGAGGTGATGCAGGATAAATGAGGGAGTGTGATTCAAGATGACGTGAAGGGGAATCAAGGTGAGCAGCGTGAGCAGACCGAATGAGGTGGATGAGAAGGATCAAGCAGGATGAGGAAAAGGAGGAGAAGTTGGAGGAGGATGTGGAGGAGGAGGGGGAGGAGCTGGAGCAAGAGCACGAGGAGGAGGAGGAGGACCAGGAGGAGGAGGCGGAGGAGGAGGAGGCGCAAGGAGAAAGAGGAGTGCACGGCTGCAGCAAATTAGGTAATTCGGCAGCGTATCATCCAGAGGGCAATATTCGACCCTCGCCATTTCTATCAGGCCACACCGAGTCGTGATTCGATGTCACGGTCCTTCGTGCACCGACACTGGAGGTTTCACTCGAGCCGAGGCTCTTGCACCACCACGTAATTCCTGCTTCGCGGGCCCAGCCAGGCGGCGCTCAGCGCCGCTCGCCCTCACCCCCTGGCCCCGCCGCCTGTTCCTGGCTCTTCCCCCTTGCTTCAAGTCGGGCATGCCCTTCTACAGGAGGAATATTTAAACATAATAAAAAAAGAGCCAGGGGACTAATTGTGTAGGGTGTTCGATTGATGTTGAAGGTGTTTAGAGTATCTTGAAATTTCCGTCAGAAATCCGCATGTCGGAAGACATGCCCGACCTAGTCTTTCCTCCTGTCTGCGTCCATCTCCTGGGCTTCGGCAATCTGCCTCGGCCGCGTGAGCGCGGCAGAAGCCGTCGGCACCCCGCGGCAGCGAAGCCTCTACCGTCGGGCCAGGAAAATGGCTCTCGGCGTCGCTCATGTCATCGCGCCCCCACCACCGCATCCTCATCACTCGACGAACAAAAAACGGCATGGACATACCCTTGTGGCGCCCCAAGTTTATCTGAATGCCGTTTTGTTGTTGTTCTTATTTTTCTATGTCTGCAGGAATTGGCCTTTCTTTCACACAGCATGCCCAAATCTGGCCACGGGCGTCCAACCTCTTCAGTGCAGGTGCTCCCTCCCCCCCCAAGTGCACGCATGGCTGAGCGAGGTAGGACCGATCTTGGTATCACTTCTGCATCAGCACACGGCTTTGCATGGTACACTCTACACTTGAGATCGCGAGGGATTCCGAGTGGTTCTGAGCCCAACGTGAGCATCGTCACAGTCGCCGCGAAGGTCGCGCCTACATTCGGTCCAGGGTCGGGTTCGATGGAACAGCAGCCGCATTGCGTTTCCCTCCAATAACAGCTTCACCCTTTCAGGGTTCTTTTCAAATATGCCCTGGGCGTTTTTTGTTTTCTGTTTTTTGTTTACAAAATCGGTGTGTTCGAAATCATTGTTCAAGCGATTCTAAGTTCCGGCAAGAACATTCCAGCACTGAAAAGCGGTTCATTGGGTTTACGTGTTGAGCTCCCTTGTTTCGCGTTTTCAGATCAGTCGATTGCGCTGTCTTCCCTTGCCGTCGGCCACGTCCTCAGTTCCTTCTCCTTGCGTCTGGTCCTCTCCATTATTAGGGTTGTAATCAAATCCTATGATCTTCTCCGGCCGCCGCTGCTGGCTGGTCGCGGGGCCTCTGGGCCTGTTCCGCGCCTGTGTTGGACCAGTGCGAGGGCGTTTTTAGGCGCGTGTTTAGCCTCGCGCTCTGCGCGCGGAGCGAGAGGGACGGGAGGCGGCAGGAGCAGGAGCGCAGACGGCAGCGACGACAAGGAGCAGCCATTAATTGACAAGACAGCAGAACAGCGACGGGCCTGACCACGCTAAAACACCACGCAGCGTCGCGCTAGCATCCTTAGTTCACCGACGGCCCAAAGTGCAGCACGCCCCCTTGTTAAAGCACAGCAACAACAACACACAACAACAACAACAACAACAACAACAACAACAACAGGAGCAGCAGCAACAACAACAACACCAACACCAACAACACCACCACCACATACTAACAGCAGCAACAACACCAACAGCAACAGCAATACCAGCAGCAACAGCAACGACAGAAACAGCAACAGTAACATCATCAACAATAACAACAACAGCAACATCAACACCACAAACAACATCAATAACACCATTATACGGATAATAGTAGCCAGAATAATCAGGCGGCCAACGAACAAAAAATCAAAACAACACGCGCAGGGCGTTCTCGAGAAGAGCCGAAACCCTTACCCCTGCTGTGGCGCTGTCCTGCCCCTTCCCCCCTCTTTCCCACCTCCTTCCCTCGATATGGAGTTCCGCGCATCATTTAACTTGCCGCACCCTGCTCTTGCGCGGTCCTCACTGTTTCCTCATCCTCCTCCATTTTCCTCCGCCATCTTCCTTCCCCTATCCTCCTTTTTCCACCCCGCCCCTCCCTGGTCCCCATCCCCCACGGAGGAAGCCCTCGTCTCGCCCCCCCTTCCCTCCTTCCCTCCCTTCCCTCCTTCCCTCCCTTCCCTCCTTTCCTTCCCCTCCCTCTCTCCTTCCCTCCCTTCCCTCCCTCCTTCCCTCCCTCCTTCCCTCCCTCCCTCCCTTCCCTTCCCTCTCTCCCTTCCCTCGCTCCTCGCCTTCCCCTTCCTTCCCTCCCTCCTCCTCCCAATCAATCAGCTTATAGATATCGGAGGTGAGGGGGTGAGATCGAAGTGGAACGGAGAGCCCCCCTACCGGGAAATCGGTTTCGGTTTCGTGTTCGTGCGTGCCGTGCGTGCGGGCGAGGCGAAGCTGCGTGGGCGGGCGAGAAAGAAGTCTCCTGTAGCTGAGGCGCGGCCGGACCAAAAGTCTCAGTTCCGGCAACCGGTGCCCCGCGGTGTCCCGCCCAGTATCCCGCTCGGGGGCCGCTGTCGCGCGGTGTCCCGCCGGTGTCCCGTCGCTGTCCCGATGATGATGATGATGATGATGATGATGATGATGATGATGATGATGATGATGATGATGATGATGATGCTGATGCTGATGATGCTGATGATGATGATGATGATGGTGATGGTGGTGATGATGATGGTGTCCCGATGATGATGATGATGATGATGATGATGATGATGATGATCTTGACGATGTTGATGATGATGCTGAAACTGATGATGGTGATGATGGTGATAATGATGGTGCCCCGATGATCATGATGATGATGTAGATGATGCTGATGTTGCTGATCATGATGATGGTGTCCCGATGATGGTGATGTTGATGGTCTTGATGTTGTTGATGATGGTAAGATGATTTGATGATGATGGTGAAGACGCAGATAAGGCTGATGATGGTATTCCGATGATGATGATGGTGATGTTGATGGTGATGCTGTTGATGATGGTGGTGACGATGATGGTGTCCCGATGGTGATGATGATGATAATGATGATTAGTATGATGACGATGATGGTGTCCCGATGGTGATGATGATAGTGATGATGAGGCTGCGGATATGATGATGGGGGTTTTGATGATGGTGGCCCGATGATGGTGATGATGATGCTGATGTTGATGATGATGATGTCCCGATAATGTCGATGGTGATGATGGTGATGATGATGGTGGTGGCGATGACGATGCTGTTCCGATGATGATGGTGATGTCGATGAGGAGGATGTTGTTAATGATGATGGTGATGGTGTCCCGATGACGTTGATGTTGTTGATTTTGTGCATGATCATGATGATGAAATGATGATGATCATGGTGGTGTTCCGCTGATGATGAACATGGTGTCCCGATGATGATGATGTTGGTGATGATGATGGTGACGATGGTGGTGTCCCGATGATGATAATGATGGTGATGTTGATAATGACGGTGATGATGTGATGGTGATGATGGTGTTCCGATGATGCTGATGATGATGACGTTGGTGGCATTGATGACGATGATGTTGGTGATGATGACGTTGGTGGCGTTGATTGTCATGGTTAGTCCGAATGTGAGATCGATTGTGAAATCGATCGTTGGATCGATAGTGAGTTCGATTGTGAGATCGATCGTATGATCGATTGTGAGATCGATCGAGTGAGATCGATCGAGCGAGACCGATAGTGAGATCGATCGTGGTATCGACCGTGAGACCGATCGAGTGAGACGTTGGTTCCTCCCCCCCGAACCTCCTTATCACCCGAAGGGTGGTCGTATAGGTAGATTATATACAAGAGGCAAGCGTGCCAAGGATCATACAATCACGGATATGGGACACTGGTTGATGGAGGTGGCGCCAATCTGTGGCAATTCCGGGGAAGCGCGCGAGTGCTGCGACGCGCTGAGCTAATGGCGTGAAGAATCTGTGATGTCACTGTGAGCTAGTAACTTCTCTATGATTCTTCGGGGCCATGGTGCTATTGGGCGCCTCTGGGGCCTATTGGGGGTCATGTGTGGGCCTGTCTGGGCCTCTTTTGGGTTGTCTTGGGGGTGATCTCGAGCTGTCCTGGGGCCGTTTTGGCCCATCGTAGGACTTCGGGGGGGGGCCAAGGGCTCGGCCGGAGCGGGGGGGGTGGGGCACGGCCGGTCGGTCCGAATAACCAGGCGGGGGGTCCACGGGGCGGAAGGGGCAGGACTCGGGGGTGGCCGGGGAGAGGGGGCCCGCCACGGGCTGGAGGGGGGGGGGGTTCGGGGGGGCGGGACGGCACGGTCGGGCAGCGGGGGGACGGTCGGTGGGTCGGTCGGAATGAGCAGGCGTGGGCAACGGGGCGGAGGGGGGGGGGGCACGGTCGGTCGGTCGGTCGGAATAAACAGGCGGGGCGTCCACGGGGCGGAGGGGGAGGGGCACGGTCGGCCGCGGGGGGGGGGCAGGGGGGCGGGGGGGCACGGTCGGGCAGGCAGGATGGGATGCGCTGTCGGTGGGTCGGTCGCAAGAAGCAGACGGTGGCCACGGAGCGGAAGGGTTCGGGGAGCAGACAGAGCACATGGGGGCGGCGCGCAGCCAGGCTTCACCCTGGCATGTATCCCAGCACACGAAGAGAGCACGCATCGCAGCACGTAT